CGAGGAACTCACGGGCATGTTCTCGTGGGCAGGTCGTCACCGCCGGAAAGGAGCGAAAGCGGAAATCCTGCCGCTTATATCCGCCACCCGCCGGAAGTGACGCGCGCGCGCCCGGCCGCCATGCCGGGGTCCGCGCGCCGCCTGCGGCTGGAGCGGACGCCTCCCGCCCGGCCTGCCGAGGGGGCCGCGGCGCGACCCCAGCCAGGCCCTGCCCTTCTCGACTTCCTCGGTGTTCCCCAGCTGGTTTCCTTTGCCATGTTAACACCGCAGGAATGTAGACACGGCGGAAGCCCTCGTCCTGGTTCCCACCTCCTCGCCTACCCTTTTAACCGCTGTGAGGTTTTTTGTTGTGTCCCCGGCCTTTCTCCTCTGACGGCGGTCCCGTCAAGTACTCGGGTGCTCCCCGCGGCGAGTCCATCCATGACCGCCGTCAGGTCGCCCCCTCCCCGTCCCCTCGCGGCCCGCGCGGTACCGCCCACCCTCTGCAGTGCGCGCGCGGGGACGGCCGCGTTGGGACCCGTGCGACACACAGACGTGCCTGGGACAGTGTTTGCTCCTGTGGCGCAGGTACCGCCCGCGGGGCGTCGTGCAGCCTGGCGCCGGTGAGGGACGGGCGCACTTTGTTCTCAGCGCCCCGCTCGCGGCCCAGAAAGTCCCGTGAGGAAGTGACATTTAGGCCGAAATCTGAAGGACGTGGAGTCCACCGTGCGACTGTCTGGGAGAAGCCAAAACCCGGGGCCGAAGGAGCGTGGCGTAGCTGAGCAGGGGGGAGGCGAGGCGGCCAGAGAGAGCTAAGGGCTGAGCGCACGGGCTTAGTCGAGGGAGACCTGAACCCCCGGGGCTGAGGAGGCCACATCCCGGCCAACGAAAAAGTAAAAGAACGGGCAGATTTGTGTCCGAACAGTTCGGGGGGATGGCAGCGTGATTTCAAGGACGGGTGCGAGACGGCCCGGCCGGGGGAAGAACTAGGGAAACCGTGGAGTTTGTGGCACGGCTGGAAGGCCGACCGGGAGGCGAGAGGACGCGCAGAAGGGGGCTGGCAGGGGGCCAGCAGAGGCACAGCCCGGACACTGTGCGCGGACGGCTCGACTGGCCCCTGTCGGAGACGCAGACGCTTTGCATGCTGTGTTTCCACCGGCACAGCCAGCCTGTGCCCGGATCGCCGTGTTCCCACGCTCCAGCGCCCTGGTGGCCTCGTCACAGCCTTTCCGCGAGGGATGAGGGCGCGGCCTCCGCTGTGTTCTCAACATGCGCGCCTCGTCGAAAGAACGAAGCCAGACATTTTCAGTCCCAAGCTCTGTCTTGCCGCACACGGTCCCTGTTGGAGGACTGTTGCTAATGAAACCCCGAACGTGTCTCGGTCGAGACGGAGGGAGGGGTGCGGCGGGGCGGGCGGGCGCTGCGTGTTCACTCTGCTCCACCAGGGGGCAGACCCGCCCAACAAGTAGCCTTGTCTTCCAGAGCATCCCGCTCTTTTCAAGCGGAGCTGGTCTCCCAACTGAGGGCTGGGAACAGCAACACCGGAATTCGCGCGCCGCCCCTACAAGGTTTCCGTCCCTTGAATCAGCCCCCGATTTTTGTCAGCTCCCAGGGCCATCCCCACCTCCACCCTTCTTCCCGCAAAACTTTCCCTTTTCCCCTAACTCCTCTAGAGCTCGTCCTCCTCTGCTCATTTGGGTTAAACCTCTGGTTCCATTCACCCCAGCCTCCCTGGCCTAAGACTGCCAGAGTGAGATCAAAAGAGGGGAGTGATGGCGAGCCAGACGCTGTGGGTGGGAAATGGCCTGGGAGACGGGCCAGCTCGGGCCCGGGGAGCAGAAGGCCGGCCAGGCCGGGCTGCCGCCGCCGCCGCCGCCGCGGGAGGAAAGGGGTGGGCGGGCAGGGGGTGGGGCCCAGAGGAGTGCCGCCTCCCCTCTATCCCGGAGCTTGGGCGGAGAGGGAGGAAAACTTCCTGGCCTGGGCTCCGGGCAGCTCCGTCCGCCAGCCCTCCGATCCCGCCTACCAGTGCCCGGAGCTTCCCCACCCCTCCCCCGGCTCCCCAGTGTCCGCCATGGCCAAAGCCTACGACCACCTCTTCAAGTTGCTGCTGATCGGGGACTCGGGGGTGGGCAAGACTTGTCTGATCATTCGCTTTGCAGAAGACAACTTCAACAACACTTACATCTCCACTATCGGTGAGCCCACTGGCCGTATCCCAGAGCCCCTAATCCCCGCATGACCTCATCCTCAGGCTCCCAGATTACTCGTGGCCCCACTCTTTACCACCCCCCACCCCCCTTAGAGTGAGGCTTCTGAACTCTAGCCTCCCAACCCCTGACTCAGACCCATCCGTGGAGCATATCTCTGGATGGTACCCAACCTCTAAACTGTCTGAGGCCTCCAGGTAACTTCTCAGTTGTGCCAGCTCCTGGGGTTCCTGGGACCACCCTTCTCCCTCACCTCCCCAAATGCACATGAACCCTTCTCGATTTCCTGCTCCACTCCTCTCCCCCACCCCCACCCACCTCCCTGTATTTCCTGTAACCCCTCTCCCTGAAGGCGGCTTCCAGTTCCGCCAGCCTCTTTCTGCCTCGCTGAGTTTCCGACTCCCCCTTTGCATCCCCACTGTACCAAATTACTTCCCAGTCTCCCTGCCCCTCAACTGAACTGGGGGTTTGGGGTGGGGGGTGGAACAAAGTGGCCGGGTGTGCTGGAGGATGGCCCAAGGACTGGAACCGTGAATATGCAGTCAGCCAGGCAAGGACGGTGGGAGTGGGGGAACTTTTGGGGGCTCTGAGTCAGCCTGGTGACTCAGGCTCCTCCCTAGGCTCTCGACCGGCTCTGGGGAGGTGCCCAAGTTTCCACCAAGAACACTGCCTCCCCTCCTCCCCTCTTGTCTTTCTTCATCTTCTCTGGCCTGGGAAATAAAACGAGGGGAATCTCAAGACAATTCTGGTTAGAAAAGGGAAGGAAAATGCCTCTCTATCCTAGTTCAGTCTCAGGAGAAATCTTACTTATCCTCAGATTTCTTGCTTGCAAGCCCAGCCTACTAGTTAACTCACACAGACTGGCATCAGCTACCTTTTTCCTGGCTCTTCATCCTATATGGCTGGAGCGTAGACGGTGGTTCTAAGAAAACAGAAAGGAAAAGGAATCTAAAAGTAATATCCTGGGGGAGACACTGAATTCTGAGAGTTGTCACCTGGTTGGCTGAGTGGATCCAAGAGGTGCCTTAAGCCTCCCTGCAGAATTTCCATCACCTACCCCCTCCCACATCCATAAAATCCATGTAAAAACAAGATGCTTGCTACCCAAATACAGGTTTGAGAAAAGTCTCTTAGTTTTATACGTGCAACAAAGTTGCTTCCCAAGTGGACCCCTGCACAGTTTCTAGCCCTGCTGCTGCTCCATGCCGGGTCTCCCCTGCACGCCCTCCTCGTCCCTGCAGAGTCTCAGCCTGAGTGATCTATATATATGCTCCACTCGTAGGAATCGACTTCAAGATCCGCACTGTGGATATAGAGGGGAAGAAGATCAAATTGCAGGTCTGGTGAGTGAACCCCCGGGACCGCTGGCCACAAACCCTCGTTTACCTCCTGTCACCCTTTCCCTTCCATTTGCCTCATTTCTCTCCCTTTCCCCACAGCTCCTTCCGGTACTTCTCCATTTCCTGTCGCCTTGCTCAGACGTCCTTCCATCCCTCTTCCTGCTCGCTCAACTATTTATTTTCAGCTTTCTTGTAACTCTCTTGCCTCTCCTGGCTCCAGAGCATTCTCTGAACTTGACAAATGTCTGCAGGGCTGCCACGTGGAAATGACATTAAAGCAGGTGAGCAGCAAATGGCAGAACTAAGACCTGACTCTGTGCGCTCCCTGAATTACCTCAAGCCCAGAAAGCTGAAGATAGAGGGCTGGGCTGTCACAGGAAGCCCGGGACTCCGAAGGTGTGCAAGTGGCTGGTGGCCTGAAAGAGGTGTTAAGATGCAACAGATAAGAGCAGGTTGTGGTTCAAGTTCTGGCTCTGCTGTGGAAGGACTTTCATTAGTTATTCAGCCTCTCCAAATCTGCGTCCCCGTTTGTAAAATAAGTAGACAGTAGAACGTGTCTCACAAGTGTAGGGTGAAGATTAGCAGTGCTTGCACAGAGTAACCCTGCAACAAATAAACCCGAGACCTTGTTCCCAGCTGTCTTACCTTCTTTTCCTCCTGTACTGTTTTCTGATTCTGTTCCTTTCAGCCCCCACTCTGTTGCAGAAGCTAAATTCTTAGCAGGGGGGATTCTCTCTTCGGAGAGCTGTTCCCTCTGTGCCGCCCCACAAACGTTCCGCCTCTTAGGGACACGGCTGGCCAGGAGCGATTCAAGACGATCACCACCGCCTACTACCGCGGGGCCATGGTACGGGGTGTGGGTCTGGACAAGGGATGAGGCGGTAGACTGCAGGGTTCTGAGAACCACGGGCCGCAGGGTCGGGCAGGGACGGTGTCAGGGTTATAGTGTGGGATGTGGAGGGCCCCACCTGGACTAGTGATTAGATT